ACTGTTCTATGAAATGGCGACCATACAAAGTAGGTATTTTAAGCCAATTATAAATGGAGATGAGTGTAGGATGAGTGGCGCGATCTTGTAGTCTTGATAGTTACTAAGGCCGACATTCCTTAGACACAGCTGTTAATTAATAGCCCATACAGCTAATGGCAACTAAGAGACCTACAGTTTATAGTGGAATCCGAACCACATTTTTGGCTTGGTAATTACATGTTTCAGTGTTTGTCTCTTGATACAAATAAATAACATGTATGGCAATGGCATGTATCTTTTCAAACTAAATCCCACCCGATTCTTCGGATATTTGCACACCTCTAGTTTTTAGTTTTGTACCTGGATGATAAGCTAACGGCCTATAATCTCGTCTCGAAAATATCCTGTTAGTATTTCAATTTTACCCGATGCTTTGTGATAAAAAATAATAAAAGTATGACTTAAATTGGCATTCTGTTAATTACGTATTTTTTTACCCGCCCTTATGACAGTGTGTATCTGGATCCGGATCCGAAGAATTTTTCAAGATCCGGATCCGGTACCGACATTTTCTTGGATCCGCCCATCACTAGTTATAACAGTAACTAGCCCAATTATTGCCAATTGAAGCAAATACAATTGTGATAGAGAGGTTATACAGAAAATCAGAGTGTTCTTAAGTAATGTAAACAAAATGTTATCGCTATAAAAAAATTACTGAAATTTGTAAACGTACTGGCGACAATGGGAAGTACCATGCAGACTACGTTATCATTGACGAAGATCAACATGGACAACCTAATGTGGCTATAAGTGGGAAATATTTGTAGAATACACTAAAAAACCAGATCAGCTTTTAAAAATTAATATAATATTTACAAGAAATGTTGATTATATGGAACTGTTAGGTACGTAATCTATGATTTGAGTCTTTTAAACTCATCGGAAATTATGACTTTAATTAGTTTTTTCAAATAAGTTATTTATTTTTAAATAACTACTTTACTACTTTGCAATTGCTCGATTTCGAGCAACATGTACACTAGTCATAGATTAAACATACAAGTACTTTTGTCATCCTTATGGATCAGCTTAAAACAATTTTATAGTTAGTTTCGTCCTAGGATTTGTTTACAATTTATTTAATGTTATTTCAGTTGTTTAAAACCCTGTTTAGCCAAATAAAACGATATACCCTTAAACAATAACTCGTCCCCTAATTATATAACCAAACAATAGAGCATAAATCATGAAATTAACCCTAAAATAATAGAAACAAAATTTCGTTGACACTAGTGCCCTGTGCCAACAACATGAACATGTTAGAGATTAAAAACAAGCTTCAAATTTTACAATGGGATGAGGCTACTTGTGTTGGTTAGTCTATGGAAATATACTATAAGTGTTATAGGGCTGCTGATATATTAAATATTTAAGTAAATAAGTACAACTGAGCACCCTGAATATTATATTTTATAAAAAGAAATCTTTTTATAAAATATAATATTCAGGGTGCTCAGTTGTACTTATTTACTTAAATATTTAATCAGGGTGTCTAGTTTATTTCCATTATAAAATTCAAGACTAATTCCAGACTTTTCAAGACTAATTCCAGATTTTTCAAGACTAGTTTTTTCAACAATTAGTGCGTGTTAATACCAAAATGTATCGATTCTCGATTCTTGATACCGATACCAATTTTTATAGCTTAACCAAATTTTCTGAATAATACTACACCAACCCCCGTCTTCGTCATAAAGTAGTATTATGATAAAGTGGTGTTTTCAAGTAAAGAAATAATGCAGCAATAAAAAATTCTAACTAGCAAATTTGTTTTTTTTAATCATGAAATCTTCCACGTACCGTACGTTTAGACATCATCATTGACTGCAGCGGTTACAGAAACGTGATCGTCGTCGTCCGCGATCACGGCAAAATCATGAACATTTCCCGCGGCCTTGTAGACATCAATGACATCATCGTCGTCTCCCGCTGTCTCAGAAACGTCATCGTCATCGTCCGCGATCGCGGCAAAATCATGAACATTTCCCGCGGCCGTGTAGACATCATCGTCGTCTCCCGCGGTCACGGAAACGTCATCGTCGTCTCCCGCGGTCACGGAAACGTCATCGTCATCTCCCGCGGTCACGGAAACGTCATCGTCATCTCCCGCGGTCACGGAAACGTCATTGTCGTCGTCCGCGATCACGACAAACTCATGAACATTTCCCGCGGCCGAGCAGATATCATCGTCGTCTCCCGCGGTCACGGAATCGTCATCGTCGTCTCCCGCGGTCACGGAAACGTCATCGTCATCTCCCGCGATCGCGACAAAATCATGAACATTTCCCGCGGCCGAGCAGATATCATCGTCGTCTCCCGCGGTCACGGAATCGTCATCGTCGTCTCCCGCTGTCACGGAAACGTCATCGTAGTCTCCCGCTGTCACAGAAACGTCATCGTAGTCTCCCGCTGTCACAGAATCGTCATCGTCGTCTCCCACGGTCACGGAAACGTCATCGTCGTCTCCCGCGGTCACGGAAACGTCATCGAAGTCTCCCGCTGTCACAGAAACGTCATTGTCGTCTCTCGTGGTTTCGGAAACGTGATCGTCGTCGTCCACTATCGCGGAAAAATCGTGAACATTTCCCGAGGCCGTGTAGACATCATCATTGGCTTTTGCGGTTACGTAAACGCAAGACGACGATCGCGGCAAAATCATGAAAATTCCCGACTTTGAAATCAAATTTAAGACAAAATCCCGACTTTCAAGACCATTTTGAAATTCAATACTAATTCCCGACTTTCCCGATTTTCCCGACTACTAGACAGTAGACACCCTGTTTAATATAAGTGTATTATATGCTCAATGGTATTCATCTATGGCGGGGGGGGGGGGGGGGGGGCACGTAGGGGTGATTATGTGAGAATTGACTGGCAATTACGACACAACCATTCATGTTGGAAACGATGTCTGAACCCTTGTATTTAACCAGAGGACACAGTAAACAGCGAATCACAGACCCAAAGAGCCAGCTTTGATGATTAGTGATTACTAATGTTAATTAACGCTTTTTTTACCAAAGAGACACTATTCTCTTTCAATGAATGTTACAATTACAAATCAAATTACTGGACACAATGTAATCTATTAATTGAACTTAGTATTGATATAAAAGGGTGACATTGAAATAAACCTAAACATTATTAATTTTTGAATCTGCAAAGAATAATTATGGAAATTTAGAGTGATTAAATAACTACCACCGTACCGTACCTCGTATGGGCCTTACCACATATCCCGTCCTCTACTCCTGTACCATGTTGATCCTTCAGCGACAATGGCAAGACAAATTCGTGGCTCACTTTACTCACTTGTGCTCGCTGTGCATGCGCGAACACAGTGCTGGGTTGAAGAGTGCCTTCTTGGCGGGACATTTGAGTTTAGGTAATTCAAGTTGTGGGACTGAGCCCCATACATCGTGTCTTTTTCTTTTATAGGTAATGTATTTTGTGATTTTCTTGTATACTGTTGATGGCTAATTGTAGATGACTCTTTTGTTTACATTTCCGCTAAACCATCATGGCTACTTGGAAGCCCATGAAGCAAATGTTAAAAATATTGAAAATTAATAAAAAATGTTTAACAAAAATTAAATTTTTCCAGAACTGAGCTCATCGTAAATAACATTTTTGGCTAAAATAAGATAGTTTTAACAATTTAGAAGAGGAAGTCGTTGGTGCCGTTTATGAAATCATTGTGCGCGCAAACGTTATTTGTAGTAAAGGATAATTTAAATGAACTAACAAAAAGCATTAGTATTGAATCATTTGAAAGAAAAGTAGGGGTCTGCGGGTATTGAAGTATTAGGTTCAAGTCGGGTACTGAAAAGATAACTTTGAGTCTGGGTAATTTTCAGGCCGGGCTCAAAATGACCAAAATTCAAGTTTCGAGTATTTTTCGGGTTTTTATTGATATTTTACCAAACAAATGTTTCATGCCTGATCATTTGCAAGTTAGTAGACCCTTACTTTACTTAATGGCTAAATAAAACCTCTGTGTGTCTTTAGGCTAAGTTAGGCCTAGGTCTACTTAAATTTGATATTGTTGCATCTTAAGACTGTCAACCACCCTCTATTATATTTATCCCCAATATAGGCTAATCATTTCATGGACTTTTTGCAAATAGTGTACTAATTCCCTTACAGGTTTGGGTGTAGGTGTAGACAAACTAGGATCCTTGGGCCTAAATTAGTGAAACTGTTTTTGGGAACAATATGTTGATTGTGGTGTCTTTTGAGGCCTAAGTACTGGCTTAGTTAAAAACAAAAAAACTGATGAAATAGTTGAAGAATAATCTTTTTATAACCTTTTCATTTACCTACATTAGTTTTGAAGAAAGTAAATATTCTTTAATCAATAACAGACACATTTACTTAAAGCTCACTTAATAAAATAACACTTTATAACTCCAACCCATAATTAATTTGTCACGAACAGATAAAACTACACTGTAACTCCCAAATCTGACAGATTTCGGCTAGGCCAAAGTAAGTATGTAAGATCAAGCTGTAAGATGATCCCGACCCTGAACGCTAACGCTCAGCTCAGCAGAAGTAAAATACTTTTCAAAGTTAGTCTTGCTTGACAACCATGCAGCCTCACAGTTGTAATAATTCTTATTATAGTGTCTGCTATATGACAAGAGAGGTATTATTTATTTTTTTAATTATTCACGCACAGATGATCCATTTCTTGCTAAGCTAAAAAAGTGACTTATTACCGTAAATCATAAACGTTGTATAATGTATTTATTCATTTTATAACATCTTTGACAATTTATTTTGACTTATAAAAAATCAAGAAATATAGAATATAAAATATGTAAACTTAACTTTCCAACACCAGAAATAATATAAATAGATATTCTTGTCCCATATCAACATTCTTGGCAGTGACTATCCAGTTGAGTTTTATATACTATACTATTATAATTAATTATGCTGTAGTACTTTACCTCTCTGTGACTGGAGCTCCCTCTGGCTTGCGAGAGATTACAAACTTGCAGGCGAGGCCAGCGTCCTTGACCATCTGATCTCCCAAAAACTCTGCCAGCCGCTTGGCTGTGCTGATAGACGTGGACTTCTGGCTGCCATAGTCCTCCAGCTTGCGACTCATCGAACGATTCTCAGAGATCAGCTCAAACAACTCAGAGTCAGGCATGTTACAGGCCTACAAAATACCAAGGTAAGTAAAGTTGCATTTAATACAAATCAAATCTATATATACTTTTAACTACTCAATGACAGTTTTCTAAGAGCATGTAAGCTTCACAGCATTAAGCTTACAAAGAATGTTCTGTATCATAAACAAATACCCCCGATGCAGCAAACCTGCAGACTTAGCGAATTTCCATTTGCCTGATTGGATTTACACTAAAATGTCTCCTTAAAAATATCACATTTGTTCCCTATCTAAACAGAATTAGTTTAACGAGTTCTTAGGTTTGCTGCAACAGGGAGGATAAAAAAGTTCTTTAAATGTAAAATGTTAAAAGGTGCTGTAGTTTAGTAAGAAATTAATGTATTTTCCAAATTGTATCAAAATATGTTTATAAATAAGCAAACTACAACAGTTGACTTATTCTCCATAAGAATAACATGGGAATTTTAAAATTACAATTTTTTGGAATTTTATCCGTAACAATTAGGCGCATAATAACGCTTCAATATACTAAATACTAAATTTTTGAGCTCTACAAAATGGTTCAGAAAAAAATTGTGAAATTTTGTGTTTTTAGGGTCAAAAATGGGAAAAACCTATTTTTACCCCATAAAACCCCCCATAAACCCCCGTTCCCATAGTCCGATCATGCTGGTTCGCGAACTCATTCAAGTTTATCCTGCCTTACACCTTCAAACCAAATTTTATCAAAATCGGACTAAAATTACTCAAGTTATCGTGCGGATGGACACACATATATATACAGGGTCATAAGTGTTAAATAAAATTTTGCATCAAACTACATGGTAATGGTGACATAATGACGCACATTTGAGGTTCCCAACCTCAACCGTTATGGAATAACAAATAAATTAAGGTTTTCCAAAAATTATTGTAGTTGTTATGAGAAAGGTTATATTACCATAGACAAAAATAATTAAATATAGACTGTCAGCCGTGCTGCGGTTACCATGGTTACCATAGGTTTTGGCGCACACCTCTGGAAGCGCCGTGGAGTTACGTAGCGTGTACGCCGTAACTACATTGCGCTCCAAGCTGTGTGCGCCAGAACCTATGGTAACCGCAGCACAGCTGACGGTCTATATTTAATTCTTTTTGTCTATGATATTACTCTGTTAAAAATGCACTAACTGTTAATTTAAATGTCATTTTCAGAATCCTCACAAAATTTTAAATAGATATAACACATAATCGTTGGGGTACGGAAAAATATTCTATTTACATTTCTTCGTTAAACAATTATTTTTAATATCGACGAAAATTTAAATAACATTCAGAAATTTATTTCTCGGTTACCGAGTTCCGCTGAGTTAAACAAATATTACTAAAAACTTCCTTATTTAAAGGGCTTTACAATGATGTATAACTACATTTATCTACTGTCAAATCTATGGTGAATTTGTTCGCACTATTGTGAAAAATCAAGGTTAAACCAAAACAGATATTGTAAAAAATAATGAATTTTACTTACTATTTTATGAGCTGGCCACTGATGATGAGGGTTTGTGTAATTTATGATTGACCAGACTACACTTTCATCAAACTAAAGAGTTTTTGTTTGGACTTTGGAAAATTTGTTATAAAAAACCACAATATGTTAGTAAAAACACACAATAAAAATCAGATCAATGACATACTTCGTCCAAAGCACAACTTTTATTAAGGTGGAAGCACAGTTTGGGTGTAAAGTGCCCTCTGTTTTCCCGCAAGCAGGCCCTAGCTCGCTTGTGAATTGCGCCAACTGTGACCTCATACGTCAATTTTCCCTTACTTTCCCAGCAGCCTCAAAGATTCTCTCCCGTAACTCAACTTCAGAGTTTACAACAGTTGAATAAACTAGACCTTTCATGTAACCCCAAGAAAAAATCTAACGGGCTCAAGTCTGGAGATCGAAGAGGCTATGTCACACTTCCTCCACGTCCAATCCATGTCGGGTAGTTATGGGATAGCCACAACCGAACTTCCGCGAGTTAATTGAAATCTTATCTGAAATATGAAAAATATACTATAACCGTAACTTTATCACAAACACATTTTACAACTATATGATTCTTTTCTTAGCTTAATAGTTATAAAAAAAACGTTGCATGCGAGAAAAAAATACAAATTATTCGTTGCCTGCACTTAAATGTATTATTCTTCACAATAGCTTTTCTTTGCCCTACCACGTTTTTTCACAACAATGATTGAATTACATTAGGAAATTTGAAATTTGGTAAAAACTATATTACACCATTGTAAAGCCCTTTAAATAAGGAAGTTTTTAGTAATATTTGTTAAACTCAGCGGAACTCGGTAACCGAGAAATAAATTGCTGAATGTTATTTAAATTTTTGTCGATATTAAAAATAATTGTTTAACGAAGAAATTAAAGTAGTATATTTTTCCGTACCCCAACGATTATGTGTTATATCTATTTAAAAGTTTGTGAGGATTCTGAAAATGACATTTAAATTAACAATTAGTGCATTTTTAACAGAGTAATACAACCTTTTCCATAACAACTACAATAATTTTTTGAAAACCTTAATTAGTTTATTATTCCCTAACGGTTGAGTTTGGGAACCTCAAATGTGCGTCATTATGTCGCCATTACCATGTAGTTTGATGCAAAATTTTATTTAACACTTATGACCGGACACCCTGTATATATCTCTATATATAGAAATATAACAATTTGAACGAATGGTGTTTTTGGCCTCTGGGGACATCAAAATGAAAAAGTAAATCGGTCCCGGGACTAGGTCTTACCGTGCCACCTACCATAAATACACACTTTGGTTAGTAGGGAATAACTACTTCCCTAAAGGGAAATTCGCTAAAAAGTCAATAGATGTACTAATGGTTGTTTTATTAATTAAAATTATAATAATTTACCTTGACTACATCTTGTGATTCAGATACCTTTTCCAAAAGTTGATTATGATAGTTTTGAACACAAAAATTTTACAGTAGTTGAACTCTGATATTAACATGCAAAACGGGTAATAAAGTTTTAAAAGAGGAGGTAAACTTGACATTTAAATTCTACTGGACAACAAAAACATTGGACTTAATTTTGAACTTTGCAATCGGTTTAAAGTATTTAAGTATAAAAAAAAACAATAACTATAAAATACCCCAATAGACTGTGCTGTTGAATGTATAATAATTCTTCTTATTACGGGAAAATAGATGGAGTTTATTTATAACTAAGGTACTAACTAAGGTAAGGTTAGTTATAACTTGGGTTAGTAACCCTATCAGTTTAGGCTATTATTAGCCCGACTTATCGTAATCGTAACTGTACTTCAGGACAGGCCTATAGACAATTATCCATACCTTGGTTAAAAGTGGACTTATATAAGCCTAGGTTAATTATTATTTACTAATCGTAGTTGTATGTAGTCCTTGGCTTGGCAATCAAATAAGAGTATTAAAGTTATATAGGATAGGCTAACTGTTATCAACATTTGAAATTAATGAATTGTTCCCAAATTACTGTTTCACAAAATGCAGATTCCATTTTCAGCCGAGAATTTAATGATCTACAACTTTTCACATTTCATAACTTATATGTTAGTTTTGCTAAGGTCAAAGTTCCAAATCCTTCTTTTCTTTTGGTCTGTATGTTGTAATTAGCTAGAATACTGTAGATGGTTTGTTAAGACTAGGGATGGTCGTGATTGAATTTTTAGTTCGGGACGGGACGGGACGGGATTTTTTTCTGTGCATCAAAAGAAAGTACTGTATTGAAGTTACCAAAAAAAGACATATGAAATCAATTTTCACCATTTGTGGCACTGATCTATAAAAACCAAAAAATGGGTAACAATTTACAGGTAGCCTACCTATAGTAACTTGTGACTCGCGGGTCACGGGGTGATCGTCTGTATGACTCACGGTCACGGAGCGATCGTCGGTATGACTCGCGGTCACGGCGCGATCGTCGGTATGACTCCGCAGTCACGGGGTTATCGTCGGCATGACTCGCGGTCACGGCATGATCGTCGGTATGACTCGCAGTCACGGCATGATCGTCGGTATGACTCGCGATCACGGCTCGATCGTCAGCATGACTCCGCGGTCACAGGGCGATCGTCGTCATGACTCGCGGTCACATCGCGATCGTCGTCATGACTCGCGGTCACGGCACGATCATCGTCATGACTCGCGGTCACGGCGCGATCGTCGTCATGACTCGCGGTCACGGCGCGATCGTCGGTATGACTTCGTCTCCTGCGTTCGCGGACCTATCGCTCGCAATAACGGCGTTATCGGCACTCGCGAAGCGGAAAAATCGCCGACGATCGGACCAAATCCCGTCCCGAAAAATTCCCGAGTCAAATGTAATCCCGTCCCGATAATCGGGAATATTCTTTTCCCGAAAAATTCCCGAAATTTCGGGACCTGTCCATCCCTAGTTAAGACCATATGTTGTAATTCTCTTGTTTACATTTTTATTGTTAATTCATAAAACTGTAATGGCTACTTTCGTCACATGAGCCTAATGTTAAAAATTGGAAATTTTAAGTTAGTTTTATATTGCATTAGGATTATCAAATAGAAATTTTTTTATTTACAAACCTTCTCACTATTAGTCGAAGTAATCTTGTTAAGTTTGGCTGAAATGTGTTCAGCTGTTATTGAGTTCAAGTGTTACGTTTTCATTGAACTTGATCCCAAAGAGCTTTGCTCCGCCAATAAAGTTAATAGGCTTAGTTAAAGAAATGAGGGATTTAGTATCTGTGACTATCCATATCCATATATGTTATTGATGTCGACATATACTGTGACATTGCCTAGCCATATAAGCTATATTATTCTATAATATAGAATAATATAGCTTATAAAAACAGCTCATAAAAACAGGTAAAAAAACTTTGTATTTACAGAAGAAATCCAATTTAAATCATACTGTTTAAAATTAAATTGGTAATGATTAAAGGTTATTGTAATGAGATATCTCATTACATTACATCAACCTTTAAATATTACCAATTTAATTTTAAACAGTATGATTTAAATTGTATTTCTGTAAATAGTTTTTACATTTTTTTATGACAGTACATATCTGGATCCGGATCTGGTACCGACATTTTCTTGGATCCGCCCATCATAAATTAAACAGAATAAATTAACCTTAAAGATCATTATGCCAAAGGCCTTAAATGGTCTATTTTATGCTCAACTTTCTTATTAATTTTTGCTCTTTCAAAATAAAACCATTGATCCACTGTACTAACCAGTACAGTAGATCAATTGAACGTTCTTATGATTTATCTGTTTGTTTACATTTTACTGTGTGTTGAGCTAGTAGGCCTCTGAACAGTTGTTGATTGTTTCCAGTGCAGTAACTACTATATTTGCTTCCTGGAAGTGGCCGGATAAACCGAGGACGGATATCAGGGGTTCTACTGTATGTCAACCACGATCAGTGTCAATTATGATACAAAATGAGACAAATTTACCTTGCTATAAAGGACATCTAGCCAGTAGTCTGCAACTTTAGCTACAGATTCATAACATTTCTCCAGTGTATCCCCCTTGAGAAAAGACTCAAACACAGATGACTGGAATATTTTGATCAGCTGCAACTCTCCACGTCGCTTTACCTCAAACCTGCACATAAATGGATTCAAACAAACATTTTTTACAATTATTGTAGAGAATAGTCGGTTCTTAAAATTTATTCTGGAAACAGCTCATGGTTTGATCTATGGGTGTTATTTTAACAATAGTCCCTGTCAGCAATCATTGTGATTGCCAGGGTCAGTCCCTCCACACCTAGACGGAATGACCGTAGCCAGCCCAGACTCTCTCTGTATTGCCACAGTGTTTGGACATAGGCTTGTATACATGACTGGATGGTTAGTAACTTAACACAAATTTAGTTTACTCAACAAATGACCAAGTTGACCTTTGTCTAACTTTGGAATATACTAGTGTTCAATGAGGGTGTAAGACATTACTTCATGCTGCCTATTCCATAATATCTAGAGATGAAACTATCGTAGTAGCAATTCTACTAATTAAATATAAAATCAACAATACCCTTTGAGCTCAGCCAGAGATCCATCAAAGTTGAATACAGCATATCTCTTCTTGAGCCTTTTGCCCTCCTCTTTGGAGGCTGGTAGAACCATGGCTAAGTAAGGACCATCAACTTCAAAAAATATGGAATTCTCACTTCGCTGTTCATAATGCAATGTCTTGGGGTCCTTGAGGTCATGGTACTGATCATTTGTGTAGAAATCCTAAAACATTAAATCCAAATGTTTTACATAGTATAAATAACTTAAAACTTTAAAGATCAACATGATTGAAAAAAATCTGCCAAATTAAAATTAAATACAATTTAAACGATCATAACAAAATACCCCCGCCGCAGCAAACCTGCCGACTAAGCGAATTTCCATTTGTCTGAATTGATTTTCAGTTAAATATATTTTAATAACATTAGGTTTAACGAGTACCTAGGTTTGCTGCTACAAGGAAACTAATAAAGTTTGTTTTTGAGTAAAATATTGATAGCTTAGTACAAAATAAATAAATTTGCCAAGTTTGATCAAAATATATCCATAAACAAGCAAACTACAACATTTGACAATATTCTCCATAAGAATAACATGGGAATTTTAAATTGACATTTTTTTTAATTTTCTCCGTTACTAATAATTGAACAAAAATACTTTTATATACTAAATCATTTGTATTTTTAAGCTCTTTAAAAAGGTCTAAAGAGAAATCGGGAAATTTTGTGTTTTGAGGGTCAAAAGTGAGAAAAACCAATTTTTACCCCATAAAACCCCCCGTAAAGCCCCGATCCCATGGTCCGATCGTGCTGATTCGCGAACTCATTCAAGTTTATCCCGCTTTACACCTTTAAACCAAATTTCATCAAAATCGGACAAAAATTACTCAAGTTATCACGTTCACGGACGTATATATATATATATATGTCTATATATATATATATATATATATGTCTATATATATATATATATATATATATATAAAAGGCAAAGCCCTCACTGACTGACTGACTGACTGACTCACTCACTCATCACTATATATATATAAGTATATATATATATATATATATAAATTTGAACGAATGGTGTTTTTGGCCTCTGGGGACATCAAAATGAAAAAGTAAATCGGTCCCGGGTCTAGGTCTTACCACGCCACCTACGGTAATAGCTACTTCCCTATAGGGAAATTCGCTAAAAGAGGAATGTATAAAAACCAGTCTCTATACTAAATTGCTTGTTTGTATTAAACTACTTTGGCATATTCCTGTTGGTTACTCTTCTATTGCAAAATAGGACTGGGTACAACAACGTACTTGGGTTTTGACAGTGAATTAGTTTGAGGATAAGCCAAGACAAACACAAAACTCAATCAACTGTAAAGTTTAGGGGAATAATGAACTTGCAGAATTTTAAGTACAGGTCTGTGGGTCCTCAATTTTTTGGGGTCAGGTTAGGCCAACAGTGTTGGCGAATTCAGTTAACCAGGGTTCTACTGTAATGCTATTGGTTTTATTTATGTTTTGGTATAGTGAAATCTTAATTGAATACAGTACCTTGACCATGGAGTTGAGAACAGCGTTAGGAAAGGAGATGGTGACCTTCGCTTTTCCTGGATGTGTAGACTCCACAATATAGTTCTCAGGGAAGGAGGCAGGCAATACACACCAGATACCATCAGTGTCTAGCTCCAGTGGTCGCCCTACCTGCTCAATGATCTCTCTGGCTCTTGTGATGATGGAGGCTCCTGTGTAGCACACAATACCAGCCATCTCCATACTGTGCCACCGTGCTCTACAACAGACAAGCATCTCACACCAGATACCAAGAGCCAACACAAAACTCTTCCAGGTAAATATTGTCACTGGTAACGTTGTTGTGTAAAGGTGGCATCCAGACAAGCCACCTAAAAGCTTTGAGTGATATAACCACACGTCATTAATACGAGCTAATCCGAGCTTGAAATTCTACAATATGACGGCAGTTACATTAAGTGTCTGTAACGATTAGTGATCGATTAACGGTATTGCTGTAATCACTGGAGATGATTATTAGGGCTCTGTGGATCAGACGTTTCAATTCAGGTTGGGTCAGGTGGGGTAAAAGATTTTGGTATCTTGGGTTGGGTTGCTTTAAAAATCATAATACAGTACTACAATCAGGTTTTAAAAATACTGTGATCCCCTAATATTGCGGTAAAATCGAGAACATTTTCTGTGGTTTCAGTAATATCAAGAATATTTACTGCGGTCACAAAATACTTGTCAATATCTTCTGCGATTACAGCGAAATCATGAACATCTTACCTGGTCAAGGAGAAATCGAGAACATATTCCCTATCATGGCAAAAAAGCCTTCTGAAGAAAGTAAAATGGGATGACGGATATTTTAAACTCAGTCCCTTCTTCCATCCAGCTCCTAAGTACCTACTTAAAAATTGTATTTATCCATACAATAACTCTAAAATACAATAAAAAAAAAATAATTGATACAAATTAACTTACTATTTGACATAATGATATAGGCTACTCATAGTGCACTCAAGCTTTTTTTTTCAAAAGCTGCTAGAACAAAAGGACCAGTTTCGTACGTTTCTAATTATGTCTAGAATAACAAGAATAATTGTTATCCACATGATATTGCTCTTGAATGAAGACAAATCAAATTTTCATTTGTCTCAGATTCTCATTCTAGGAGATCACGAATTATATTTTAAATATAACCTACACAACCCATATAACCTATATAAACCATATTATTGTACAATTGAATCGTAGTTTATATAAAAAAAAAAAACACTTACCCCTTTCTCATGACATAGCCATAGAACGAATTCAGAATACATTTGTGAGCCAACTGAAGAGAATCATACAAAACTTCTCGGTTCTTGGCTGACTTTATTTCTCCTGCATCTCCTTTCTTAATAGCCTCAGCAACCTGTTTTTTGGCAACCTGCAATAACAACTTTATCAATATTTAATTTGTCTATACACTGGTAATTTTTTTGCATTTAATCACATTTGAGACCATTATCATAACCCCACATCCTTGGTTATTTTTTCCTAACATAATAACTAACTGTTATATAGCCACTAAGTACACAAAACTATTTATCTCATCTATTGTCAATTTGTGTTTTGCCAACATTATAATATCAGGTTTTAAATCATCAATAGTAATTTTTAAGGAATCTATTCTGCTAGATAAACACTGTATGTTTTGGTGAAAAACTGTAATTTTGGATGCTGGATTGTTGGTGGTGTTAGTTATTTTAAATATTTTGTTACAATCCTGCTTCTTAAAAAATAATTCTTACTATGAACATCATTATTCCCGATCAAAACATCAAGCTCTGCATTATATGTAGGCGCAACAGTCACTTCACCTTCACTGAGAACAGCACTTGTTGTTGATGTGTGTGCAGGTGTAGGTACATCTCTCTGTGTGGATTTCTGGTCAGCCTGTGTTGATTGTTTAATCACCTCGCTGTACTGCAGTTCATCTGGTACCACTGGAGGGCTGGCTTGAATGGGACAGGGGCTGTTCATCAGATCAGTCGTGGTTGTGGTGGCGTCATCAGAAGCATTCACTGTGTCACTAGCTTTAGCAGCAATGTTTGTATTGGTATCACCACAGCCACCTCTAATGATGTTGGCAGGAGTGCTAGTTGTAGCAATGCAGCTGGTGCTTGGTGGCAGCTGTGAGTTCCCTGTCTTTGGTGTCTGGTCAGGCCACCCGCGCCAGGGCGAGGAATCATACATCAATGAGTCACTGGCATTGAAGCAAGGAGTGGCAGGAATGACCTTTGCTGATGGTTTTAAAGATTTCTTGTGTATTTCAGCTTTAAGTGATTCTTCAAGCTGGATTTTAAAATGATGGTGGCTCAGTCCGTTTCTCAAACATCTTCTTGAGTCTTCATTGTGTCACAACGATTACTGCAGCATTAGTCTTCTTTTGGAACGATATGATACTAGATACAAAAGTATTTATTTCCACATTCCTTATGCATCCAACAGGGGGACAGTATAAAGTATCGTAGTTCCTGCTTTTAAAATCTATAGTGAGCTCTTGGAAAGCTTTCACATAGTCAATTAGTTTTGGTTTGTCATAGTACTTGAGCTTGGTTATTAGGCTGTATATTCCAGCTCTGTTATTAGCTTGTTGGTGTGCTAGGTGGCTGGCAACACAATCCCAAACTGTAGGCTTCCCAAATTGGTTCTTAAATTTAACGGCAACTCCAGCAGTCATTTGCCTGTCGTGACCAAAATCACCTGATAGACTGTGGGCAAAAGCTACTTTCTTCTTATTACTTTCTCCCCCTATACCATAGTATATGGAGAAAGTATTGTTTTCGTCAAAATTTTCGAGTTTGAGTTTTGAGTGGATATATTCGTTTTGGGTCCCCCTGGACCCAAAAAAGTGGTTTTCGAAGTGATGTCTGTGTGTGTGTGTGTGTGTCTGTGTGTCTGTGTGTCTGTGTGTCTGTGTGTCTGTGTGTCTGGATGTGTACAGAGCTAGAGACTACACCTGTGGTCCGATTTCGATGAAATTTGGTATGTAGGTTCTAATCCATGGTATCTCCAGGCGTTTTTTTCATTTTTTTGAAATTTTGATTTTTAATGGGGATTTTCCCATAAAAACCCATAAAAAACCGGAAAAATCGGATATTCTCAAAAATGGCCCGAACGATTTTGATAAAAATTTAGTATGTTGTAGCCCTTTAAATTCTGAACAAAATGGTACAAATCCCATTTCTGTAAAAATTACGGATCATAAGTTATGGTAAATTATGTTATTTTCCCATAAAAATCCCATAAAATAACGAAAAAATATGATTTTAGACAAAAAAATCCGTTTTTATTTAACATAGTATGTTATGATCCTTACAATTTTGATAGTTTTTCTTATTTCTTAGAAATTTTTATTTTTAATGGGTATTTTCCCATAAAACCCCATAAAATGACGGAAAAAAAGATTTTCCCAAAAATGGCCTGAACGATTTTGATAAAAATTTAGTATGTTATAGTCCTTTATATTCTGAACAAAATGGTACAAATCCCATCTCTGTAAAAATTACGGTTCAAAAGTTATTGTAAATTATGTTATTTCCCCATAAAAACCCCATAAAATAACGAAAAAATATGATTTTAGACAAAAAAATCCGTTTTTATTTAACATAGTATGTTATGATCCTTACAATTTTGATAGTTTTTCTTATTTCTTAGAAATTTTTATTTTTAATGGGTATTTTCTCATAAAACCCCATAAAATGACGGAAAAAAAGATTTTCCCAAAAATGGCCAGAACGATTTTGATAAAAATTTAGTATGTTATAGTCCTTTATATTCTGAACAAAATGGTACAAATCCCATCTCTGTAAAAATTACGGTTCAAAAGTTATTGTAAATTATGTTATTTCCCCATAAAAACCCCATAAAATAACGGAAAATCATATTTTCCCAATATTGGCTCGAACGATTTTGATAAAAATTTAGCATGTTATAGTCCTTTAAATTCTGAAGAAAATCTTACAAATCCCATTTCCGTATATTTACTCTCACCGCTTACACATGATAAAGGTTGTTGACAAACTTATGGGAGAAAGTATGTGTCAGAATGCTGATACCGTTTATTACAGTTGTTCTTCAGTGTAGTTTGTAACAATTGATATACTCTATTGCCTCCCTAATTACCATTTATTGAAGTTGGCCACTTCAAAAGATGAATTAACACCTTTTTGAGTTGATGAGCGCGCAATCAGCTCAAATAAAAATTAGAGGATCATTTCAAACAATTACTCCAAACCCAACCAGACAATAGCCATTGTATCAGTTCACCAGCTCAACTGATAAGGATGTTTCTACTGATAAGAGAGTAGCCTGGGGCAGAGCGGTCCAAACCTTGAAGAAGACCAGTTGTACCTGTCTGAAGATTCTTCATGTTGTCTTCATGAAGATTGAAGAATATTCACCCTCGCACTTTATGTGGATTTTAACCATTTATTTTTAAATGGATGAGGTATGTTAATGTTATATTCTATATGATTGAATTTCAGTTACATAAATTGCAAAATTATGATATTTTATCCAGAGTTAATTACCAAATTCAAACCACATGTTCTTGTATCATGTAAAAACAATCCTGTTCAGGTCTACTCCTCAAAAATTGAATATTTTGTTGGAATATTAATTTATTAGGTTCATTAAATGTATTTTTAAACATTTCATGTGTCCAAAATAACTTTAAAAATCTATATCAAGTTAGTCTGTGGAAAATAATACAACAAAGTGAATATTTTATTTATGTATTTAAATTAATTGAAGAAATAATTATCTTTTGAAATTAGTCTACTGTTTCCTAGAATAAATAATGCTTTGAAATTATAATTAAATTGTCATATAAAAATATTAATATTACTATTTTAGTACCCTTTAAAAAAAATGTTAATTTCATTCACAAGTAAATATGCTACTTAGTTCTTAAAGAGGTAAACTAAAAAAGAAACAATAATACACTGGTTTGTACTGCATTATAGTTAATTTATTTTAATTTGTAAAAGTGTTCAATTAAATGTTAGCTTTGTTCTGTTGAATGTTTTGAAGGGTAAAATATTACCAATTAATTAGTTGAAACTGAATATGTGTTATATGTGATAAATAATATTGTATTGCCACTCATGAAAGGATAAAACACAAAGTATATTAAATTGTATGTAAATCTTGTGTATTACTGAGAAATTAATAGTTAACAAATGAATGAGTTATTTAAATACTGTAAATAGTTTGAAGTTGGAAATGCTATTAAAGTAGAATTATGTAGCACACATTAGTATTCAACTAACTGATGAATTTAAATGATGTATCCCATATCGAGTATAATATTTTTAATTGGAGATTCTGTTGAACAAACAATAATTGGATTACAGTAGGCCTTGATGTAAATATCAGTACAGTACTTAAAACAGAATATTTGTATTCAACATATTCAATTTAATCTATTATTTGCTTGTTTTACTTCCAACACAATTAATGTTTTATTTGTATAAAGTATAGTGTAGGGTAACTTAATGATGGATTAATTAAAATAATTGTTTATTTTATGGAGAACTTGCAAAAGGATTAAACAATTATGTAACAGCATTTATGTGTATATTTCGGTAATTGCTTAAGACTATTTATTGGGTTTATTGTACAGGGTTTTTGTGAGCCCTTCACACCATACTTGGAGGATCTACTGTGACAGCCTACAGGACTTGCCTACTGTGATTACCAGTATCTTCACACCTATCTGGACCTCATTGACCCCGTGACCTGTGTGCTATCTACTTGTGTGAGACAAATCGGTCTAGACCGGAATTCCCTTGATAGCTACCTTGTGCGGTGGACTTGGTGAGTGACACATTTACCTATTATTTATTGCCTGGACTTAACAAGGACTTATTGGAGGACAGCTCAAGACACTTGGACTATTCACGCCTGCCCGGATTAATCTTTTAGGTTAAATGGGGCCCCGGTCATTGAGTTTTCATGTATTTGTAATTTAGCTAGTAAGATTTTGGTTAGTGTTTGTTATTGTATTTATATGTCTTTGAAACTGTGCATTTAGGTGAGCTATTGAATGCTTTGAGCTTCAGAAGGGAGACTATCTGATCTAGAATTATATTCTGTTTCTTATCCAGCCATTTGAGCACACCTCAGAGGGAAAGATATTACATTGATTGCAATACTGTATTCACAAATCAATTGATTTATCTATTTATTTATTTGTATAGTTGCTAGTGATTGTCAATTGCTCTTGATTGCCTTAATTTCAAAGGATTAGATCCTTGGTTGCATGGGAATGTAAATCATAAATTATTGTTCTATTGACCTTGTGTATTATCATATTTGGTATAATAAATTCTCTAGCATGGCCATGTACACAAGCGTTGTTGTGTTCCTGTGTACTGTCTA